GCGTGTGCACCGGGAAGACCGGAGATGCTTTATAACCCCCCCACCACCACCACCACCCCCCCGTGTCGGCTTCTCTCTCCATCTCGGGATGTTTCACGCCGTGGAGAGGAGCCTTGTCCAGCTCCCCCCGGGACCACGGGCTGCCCCCCGGGACCAGCCCCTCGCAGAACCAACCACTAGTGATCCCAGACCCTTCCCGGCGCCTGCCGGTGGCTTTGTCACTCCCCCGGGGTGACACCTCTGCTCCTCACGGGCAGACCCCGCTCCCCGTGCCCCCCTCGCTGCCCCCGGGCCGGAGGGGGCTGTAGGATTAGGGGTGGTTTTGATCTTCCTGGTTTTCTTTTGCTTTGCTCCTGGGTTGCACGAGTTCTGCCCCGGGCAGAGGCAGGGTTTGAATTGTTGCCTCTCCCTGCGTGGTTTTACTGCCGTGCGTGTTGGTAGCAGGTTTCTGGCTGGATTTTAGGCTCTTTTTGGCAGTTTGGCTCCCCGGGGCAGCAGCGTGGGCTGGGGCAGGCTCCCCTCGCCCTGCAGGACCGCCCTGGGGTTGCCACAAACCCCCTGGGAGAGGGGTAGGGACTGCTGGGGTGTCCTTGGGGCAGAGAAGGGCACAGTCCTGCCTGGCAGGTTTAGGGGTTCTGAGGAGCCGGGGGCAACTGGCAGGAGCAGAACCGGCTCCTTTGGGGCTGCCCTGGGAGCGTCGGGGGGACACGAACAGAAGCCCCTTCTCCACAGCAGCCCCTCGCTGGCTGCAGGCAGGGAGAGCCCCTGCTCTGTCCCGCCACCCCAGGATGGACCCAACCTCCCAGTCCAGGGGGTTTTCCTGCTCTCTCCCCTTCCTGGCCCCTCTCTCCCCACCCACCGTGCTCAGCACCGCAGCAGGGGCTCAGCCAGGGCTGGGTTTGCCCCTCACAGCCCTGGCTGTGCCTCACCAGGGGGGGGAAAAAGCCTTTCCCTCTCTGATTACAATTAGCAGCTGCCTCCTGTGGTGTTGGGGGGTGGGTTTCCCAACCCCTCCCCTCCTCCCTGCTTTGGCCAAAGCCCCTGGCAGACCCCGGGGTACCAGGCTGTCCCCCCGTGGCTCACAGGGGGGACTTGACTCGGTAGCAGTGACTCACTGTGTCTTTTAAAGAGAACTTGGACAAACCCTTGGGGCCCCTAACGCCATCAGCCCACCTGCCCAGCGTTCCTTACTGCTGGAAATGTCCAGGTGACCTTTTTTTATATTAAATTTTTGGCTTTTAACCTTTGGATGTAACGGTACCGGTAGAGGAGCTGGTTGGAAACGCACGTGAACTAACTAACCTCGTTGGGACTCCGTCTAGGAGGGGGGTCCGGCCTCGTTTGTATCTGCCCCTTGGGGAAAAGACAATAAACACTTGTACTAAATGCCTTTCTCCGGGCTGTCCTGCGTCCGGCGCGGGGGCTGGGACCCTTCCCGGCGTGGGCCAAGGGATCAAACGTTGATGGCAGCGTTTCTTTGCGATCAAAGCTGGTTTGAATTGGGCTCCAGCCCTGCCCGGGCAGGTTTTGGCCGCGCAGCACCCGGGGCAGCCCGTGATCTCCATCCCCGCGCTCGGGATGCGGGTCCCTGCAGGACCCGGCGCTAATTGCTCACCCTCATTAGCCAGGTCACGTGGTACCGCCCCAAGATGGCGCCCCCCCTGGGGTGGCGGTTGCCTGGCAACGGCAGACGCGGCCCGGGCCCCGTCGGGTGGGAG